CGCAGCAGCTCTGACTGCCCGTGGGTCCTGTCCCCATGCTATTCCACACTATTCTCTAAATAAAAGAGCACTACTGCCAGACCTTGAGAGTCCAAGAAATCTTTCTTTCGACTCCTCGGCTCACTGACCCCGCATCATTTTGACCACTTGGAAGGCCCCTTGGGATGGCATCTTCCTTCATATGTTATCTCCTTCCAGACACCAACCCTTGAGAGTCAGTCTAGTTTGTCCAGTGCAAACTATGAAGAGGAGTCTCACCAGGAACCAAATCAGCCAGCACCTTGATCTTGGACTTGCCAGTCTCCAGAACTGTGAGAAATAAATTTCTATTGTTTAAGTCACCCATCTAGGGTATTTTGTTATAGCAGCCCAAGCTAAGACAGTGATCAATTAGATTAGATTTCATTTCCTTTGTGCCAGGGAGTTATCTTTGTCATGTTTTTATATCAATGAGTTTGTAGACTTTTCGTTTTTATCCATTAACTAGAACAGTTTAAATAGTATCTGAGCGTGGAGGAGACTGTTGGTCATCTACCCCACTGTCCATTCTCCCTTTCTTCCTCAATATGAGAATCCCTGATTTTTAGCTGGTCACCATGAAAAAAGAGGACATTTCTCAGACTCCCTAGGTGTGACCTTGGACTAAATTCTGCCTAATGTGATGAAGCAGAAGGTTGTATGGTGGGTTTAGAAAGCTATAGTAAAGGATAGCTGTTGCATGCATGCTCTTTGCCCTACCTCTGTGTTCCTTTCTCCATCATAGAGCTTGGAATGTAGGTGTGATGGCCGGAGCTCTAGAAGGTGTGGTGAATTCTAGGGATGGTGGAAGGGTAGCTGAAAGGAACCTGGTGATTTTGTGGTGTTGCCATACCAGCCCTGGACATCCTGCACTTCCACATCTGGACTGCCTTTGTGTGGAAAAGACATGAACTTGTTTCAGACACTATCATTTTGGGTTTTCTATTCTGTAGAACTTATTCTAATGTTTAAGAGTACAATAAGTTGCTATTCCTTTAAAAAATGCAGCCATAAAACCATCTGCTCCATATTTGTTTTGTTTTCTTTTTTTCCCCTTATTTAATTAGAAGTCTGTAACTTTCTGAATTTCATTGTTAGTATTAGTCTATTTATATTTATTTCCCCTTCTTGAGTCAGTTAGATCATTGAGTTTCTTTTAAAAAAGTCATTTAATCAAGGTTTTCAAATCTTTGCACATAATTTTTTAAATTACTCACAAAACCATTATTTCCAGTATATACTCTTTCATGTTTCCATTCTTTTTCTGTATTCTTTTTTAAAAATCTTTATTACAGTAACCAATGGTTTATCTAATGTGTAACATTTTTATCCCTAAGGATGAGCAGGGCTTATTTTTATTTCTATAATTTGCCTGCAGCCCAATTAATTTCTAATTTTATCTTTATTACATTCTTTCATATGCTTTCCAAAGGTTAAGTTAATCTAAAAAAAGTAATTTCTTTAGTTGAATGTTGATTTTATCTTATTGTTTCTTGTTCAGCAATCTAAGTATGTAAGGATATAGGATTCTGAGTCGAGAGCTGTACTGAAGGCCCTGCCAGTGTTAAGGAAGGCCGCTGCTCACTGGGCAAGACCACACTTGGAGAAGACAAGACTGTAGGACACCTAGAGGTAGAGATGAGCTTAGCGATACCTAGATTGTGCCTTCACTTATCCTGCACGAAGGTGGGGTCTCTCAGTGATCCAGTGGGTCTGAGGCTCCACAACATGGTCAACGCACTCAGACTACAAGGATAGAGAACAAATAACACTGGGGTTCCTCGGGTAGAGGAGGAAAAACATCTTTTTCCTCTACCCATCTTAGGTTCCCTAATTCAGGCCCTGTAAATTAGACTAACAAAAGACAGATTAATAAGAGAAAAACAGACGTTTATTAACATGTTATGAAATAACAGGAAATATATATACTGGCCTCTGCCCCCAGTTCCTAGCAGAGACTTCCTAAAACTCTTGTAATTTCCTAAGTTATGAGAGCACTAGGAACATCTTTGTTGCAATATTTGGTCTTTGACCCCAGTTCCTGACACACAGCTCCTAACTCCCTTGGAGTTTCCTGGGTGATAGGAGTTTGTTTTGTCCTAATGAGGCGACTCCTGGTGGGCTCCAGGATAGCTTCATGATGGGGGATGGTCACCAGAAAGACCAAGCCATGATTAGAAACTCAGAATTTTCAGCTACACTCCCCATCCTCTGAGGAGTAAGGAGGAGTTGGAGATTAAGCTCATGATTGATCATGCCTACATGATAAAGCCTCCATAAAAATCCCCAAAGTACAAGATTTCGAGAACTTACAGTTGGTGAACACATCCATGTGTTGGGAGGGTGGAGCGCCCCAATTCCATGGGGACGGAAGCTCCTGTGCTAGGGACACTTCTGAATCTCATCTTATATATTTTTTCATCTGGTTGTTCATCTGTATCCTTTACCAAATCCTTTATTGTATAATAAACCAGTAAACAAAGCATTTCCCTGAGTTCCAGAAAATGTAAACAGTTCCAGAAAATGATCAAACCTGAAGGGGGGGTCATGGGACCTCCAATTTATAGCCAGTCAGAAGCACAGGTGATGACCTGGACTTGTGTCTGCGGTAGGGGTGGATAGGGATAGTCTTGTGAGACTGAGCCCTTAACCTGTGGGGTCTGTTCTATCTCCAGTTAGTGTCAGGATCGAATTGAATTGTAGGACACCCAGTTGGTGTGGGGAAAAAAAGCCCACACCTAGTGTCAGAAGCATCCTGAAGTGTTGTTAGTGGGGTAGTAGTGTCACTGACTAGTTACTGCAAAGAACTCAAGGGTGGGTTTGGATATTTAAACTGTTTTTCAAATTGTTCCTTTTCCTTTTGTTATGTTAAGGAGATGGAAATGATGCGGGTCGGTGAGCCGAGGAGTCGAAAGAAAGATTTCTTAGACTCTCAAGATCTGGCAGTAGTGCTCTTTTATTTAGAGAATAGTATAGTATAGCATGGGGACAGGACCCATGGGCAGTCAGAGCTTCTGCTGCCGCCGCTTCTGCTGCCCCCGCTGGCATGGGGACAGAGCCCATGGGCAGGCAGAGCCGCTGCTGCTACCCCCTCTGGCATGGGGACAGGACCCATGGGCAGGCAGAGCTGGTGTGTGGGGACAGGACCCACGGGCAGTCAGAGCTCCTGCTGCTGCTCCGAGTTGAGGGTTAGGGCTAAATTTAAGGCATGGGTATGTGAGTCATCTCTTTACAAGACAAAGGAAAAAAAGTTAAAATGGTACCAGTGCCGGTAGGCTCTGGCCATTGGGCGGTCCCACAACTTTTAGATAAGAATCAAACCGGATTGAGTAAATGGCAGAAGTCACCGCTCAAATATTATCTTCAACTAAAGACAAAGGAGGATTTTGGGGTGGGGGGTCAGTTACATGAGGCTGCCAGACAGTAAACGACTTAAGTTCTTGCCTTCCCCATTAAGAGTTTCCAGAGATAAGGCCATCCTCCCTTCCTCCTGGCGCAGAGAGGGAGGCATGGAGATTTCCTTCACAAATGCAATTGTCTCTGATCAAAGGGCAAGCAAATTCCACTCCTCGGAGCCTGATTCTCATCTGTGGTTTTAAAATTAACCAGCCTAAAAATCCTCATCATAAACTGTTTTAAAATTAAGCAGCCTAAAAATCCTCATCACAATCACCAATCACCCTGAACCAGACCAAGCCTTACCATAAGTGCTATGCCCCTTTTGAATATTCATTCCCCATCCGAAATAAGTGTCCCTGCTTCCCATTGTTTGGGGACACCATGACTCTGGAAATGATTCTTCATTGTCTCCTATTTGCTCCAAATATACTTTACTTTGTAAGACAAGTACTTCTGGTGGAGAGTCTGATTTAACTTGCCAGGAGGGAATCCACTTTGGTTTCAGTAACAGCAGTGAGAGAGTAACGGAGAAACAGGGAGTTTTTCCTAGACACATGTGCATCATGCATACACGTGGGAGCACTCAGAGATGAGTCACTTGAAGCGGTGGTTAGAACTTGGGCTTCTGTAGCATCTTAACAAAAGAACAGATTTTTAGAGAAGTGACAAGACAAAGGAAAATGACTTTCAAGGCAGCAAATTGTGGGAAGGCAAATATATGGGGAAAGTAGTGGTAGATAAGGGCTATATTAGCAAGATTTGTTATGTAGATTATTCTAGTGCAGTCTCTGGGCTGATAAGGATCTAGAGTTGTCTCTCGTGATTAACTTCTGTCCTTTCTGGTAGAGAGGGGTGGGGGAATAACTTTACAAATTTATGTCCTGCTTTAAGGTAAATAGCGGGAGGCAGAGAGCTCTTCTTGTTTCTGTTTTTCTCTATTGCCTTCAGTTCAAAATCTTTCTTATGCCAAAGTGGCATATTTTGGGGTAATATATTCTGCTACCCTTTACTTTCCAATTACATTTAGCCTCTATCAGCATGACTAGGAGAGCTTACAATGCTGGGGAGAGTGGGTGATAGTCTCACCTCTTCTGTGTCTTCCTCTGGGTGGAGAGGAGGCCCAACCATGCCTCCAATATCCAAAAACAACTCTTCTATTTCCCCTGTTCCTAGAAAGATAATCTCAGAAGACTTTAACATCAACAAACGTCAATTTTTATATCAACTATAAATTATCATAACATCTAGCAATTTGGTGACATTTTTTGGTCAGCATTAATGTTGTCTGTGTTTCAGCTGACTTCACCACGGTCCTGTCATTAGCCAACTCAGCTATAATAACTTAGGTTTTACATGGAATGTCCTTTCCAAAATAAATCCATGTATACTTAAGGCCTATTTGATCATCTTTGAATCATAATAAAGACTGCCAACAATCATGCCAGCAACAACTATTTACTGAGATGTTAAACTATTTCAAGATGGCTGACTCCAGTACTGAAAATACCAACTTCTTTTCCAGTACTGAGTCTCCCATTAAAATTCATTTTTACTCTTAGTCTCCTCCCTATTTGAAGCATCTCACTGTAAGCCACTTTTAACTCTTCTCTCACACTTTTTTTGGTTACTGCCCAGGCAGAGCTCACTAGGTCTGGTTGCCATATGCACTTACTATGTCAGTTGCGGCTCAGATTATTAATCAACATGCCAGTGGTTAAAAGAGTCACTGCTATTTTGATTCTCCTGCTCTTTCCTGCATTTGGCAGAGACAATCGCAGCTTTCCCTCATCCCCCACCCATGAGTTCAATGGCATCAAACTGGGAGAACTCAGACCTCCCGATCTCTGGGTCACTCTTCTGATCACCCAAGGACTCTTGCAAATCATAGTTCTGAATCCACTGAAGAGGGATGGACAGCGCAATGTATGATCACTGCTGTTATCTTGCTTTCCTCCAGCTCAAGCTGACCATTTGTGGTATTTTTACAGTCTTTATATCCATTAATTCAAAGCAGTTTTATTAAGTATCCACTAAAAGCCTAGCACTATTCTAGGTACAGGGAAATAACAATGAAGAAAACAGACCAAATTTCTGCCCACAGGGGATTTACATTATATTCTCCATGTTAAACCAAACAGAAGACTGCTCCTTCCCTTACTCATTCGGGGAAGGCAGGAACAAAGGAGAATATTGATAAACCTGGAAATAGGGCCGGAGAGTATCAGAGAAGGAGGTCCCTGGGAAGGTGAAGATGTGGGAGCCAGTAGTTATGTTGTAAAAGGATACAACTCCGGCCTCATAGTCCAGAAAAACCCCCACCACCAGAGGCTGCTCTTTCAGATGAAGGGAAGTTAGGGGAGAGGTAAGAGCAACATAGCCTTTCTTTTTGCACAGCCTGATGGCCCAGAATCCAGACTGAGGCGTCCGCATCATGCCAATGTCCCTCTGCACGTTTTCCATACAAAGTCCTAAATCCCACCCAGTTCCTTCTCCCACATCCACTTCAAAGTAATGTTTTCCTGAGGTGAAGCCCTCGCAGCCCAGGATACAGGGCAAGGCAGTAAATCTCCTGGAAGTGTCAAGCTTCTCCTGGGGGCATCCACGAGTCACTTGTCTCCGATCCTCAGACAGAATTAGTTCATGATGAGCTGTATCTGGATCCAGAGTCACACTGACTGAAAAAAAACAAACACACATTTTTTGGTGCTGGGAACACAGTTTGTTTTAAATAAAACCAGCCTGTGTTCAAACGCAAGCATTATTTCTTACTAGCTGTGTGAGCTTAGGTGAGTCATTCTCTGAGCCTACGTATGCTTAGTGCTTGGTAAAATTCCTGGTATATGGTGTATATACATATATATTTATATATATGTTACTGACAATAGAATAGGACAAAAATGAAGGGCTGTGACTCCTATAATATATTTCATTCTATAAGACTCCATCTTGCTAACAGACTTGTTCTAGAGACTCTCTCCTGAACTCACTTTAAAGAAATAATTGGCCATATTGGGAGGCCTATGTGCACAGAGCTGAGGGGTGGCTTCTAGAAGCTGAAGGCAGCCCCCAGCCAATAGTTAGCAAGAAGCCAGTGCCCTAAGTCCTATAACCATAAAGAAATGAATTCTGCCAACAACCAGAGTGAGCTTAGAAGTGGATTCTTACCCAACCTAGCCTCCAGATGACAACACAGCCTGGCCAATACCTTAACGGTGGCTTTGTGAGACCCTAAGAAGAGGACCCAGCTAAGCTGTGCCCAGATTTCTGACCCACAAAACCTGTGACAAAAGTGTTGCTTTTAAGCCCCTAAATTTGTTTGCAGCCATAGATAATTAATATAATCACCAAATCATTCAAATTAGGTCCAATTTTGCAGCCAAACAAATCATGAAAACATTTCAGTTTTCAGAGCTTTTTTAATTTTATAATTGTGGATAAGAGACTGTGGAACTACAGCAAGCACTGATTAAGAGAATCAAGAGAGCAGGAAGCTCAGGCTTTGGAATTGGTAAAATTTGGTTTTCATATGGTTCTAACATTGACCATCTGTAATATCTGGGCCAAGGCTCTAAAACTATTTGTACCACAGTCCATAATACTCACCTACCTTTCCTGCATTGCTTTGAGAGTTGACTAAATATTAACAAGAAACATTATGTCCCAGACACTTCCTAAGCATTTTACACATGTTGATGCATTTATTTTTCATGACAATCCAATGAGGTAAGAACTGTTAATATTTTTATTTTTCAGCTGGGGAAACTGAGGAGGTTATTTGCCTGGGGTGACACAGCTAATAAATAGGAGAACAGAAATTTGAAGGGTCTGCACAGATAACCACACTGGGTATCACATACCTTGATAGCGCCTTAACATTTTCTTCACATCAAAGTAAAGCTCAGAAACATGGCACACAGTATGAACCTCCATAGAGAGGGCCTCTGGTGTTTCCAGCTTCACAGCCCAACTCCTAGAATAACCAGAGGCCAGAGACTTCTTCAGTGGGTCATTCCAGTCAGCTCTATACACCCATACCTCTTGCCTCCTGCATTCACACAGGACTTACCTGCTCAAAGTGTCTTTCACATCCTACAGAGAAACAAAGACAAAAAGTGAGTGTGGGACCATCAGTATTTCAGGGGGTTTGGCATATGGGGCTGTTCTCTATAAATGCTCCTTCCAAAGATGTAAAGAGAGTGACCCCAGCCTTAGATATTGATGGATGCACAGACAGAACGATTCTCATCCCAGCCCTTTGGGATAGTCAGCATGGTAGGATGTTTATCAACCTCTGAGTCTGTTATCTTCCTTGCTGAGGCCTGTGGGGAGCTGTAGTGTCCGCTATTGTACCAGCCTGTGGGCTGCTTGGGGAAGAGGGCCAGGAGCTTTGCCCATGCTCCCTCTGACAAGATTGGCTTTCAGTGACCTAATTTCCTTCAGCATGAGCCCATACTAGAGATTACTTATCACAAAGGTCCTTAGTGGTGAATCCACGCATGGCCCCTGACTCTGGGCCACTAAGGTAGGCAGCAGGCATCATATCGTGGTGGAGCAGCCATGCTGCATTCTTAACCTTACAGTTTAACCTCCAGTTCTATTAGTGGGAACTAGAAGAAATAGCTCCAGGCCTTGAAAGGAGGCCCCATAAGAGCTCTGGAGCAAGGGCTCTATAAGCAAATCAAGGGTAAGGTTATCACTCATTGTAGCTGCCCCACCTTATCACCCACCAGTCATCTGGAGGAGTATTTCAAGAGACAGTTTGACAGTCAGGGTTCTGTGCACATGGACCAGGGACAAATGGTAGTAAAAGTTACCCATGGTTTTGATTGGCCAAGGAACTCATTGTGGCCACCCAGAGGGAGTATATTTTTCTGAGTAGCATAAAGGCACCCTATAGACTAGTGGAGGCAACCCTGCAGATATTGATGTGTATCTAAAAGAAACATTACTTTAAATTCCCCACATTAATGTGCCATTTATGGGTGGAGAAGGCAGGCCTTGCCAATTTTCCCATCCTTCCTCACTAGTCTGCTCTTAATAGCTCAGGAATAGACAGACACTTTCTTTCCTTCTTCCAAGTGCAGAGCCTCACCTGCAGCAAATTCTGGGCTGAGCCCTGACATTTTGCCTCTAGTTCCAGGATGTGGCTCTCAAGTTCATGGCTTTTCCGTCCCAGATTGGCCTCATTGTCCCTCAGTCTCCTCAGAATCTGCTCTTTTTCTTTCTCCAGCCTCCATAGGTAACATTTCTCCTCCTCATGCAGGAAGCTCTGGAGATTCTTAAATTCAGACTGGATTTTTTGTCTCTGAATGTTTATCTTCTCCTAGGGTCAAGAGAGTATAATCAAAAGGTGGAAACAAACCAAATGTCCATTGATGGATGAGTTGATAAACAAAATGTGGCATCTAGATACAATAGAATACAATTCAGCCTTAAAAAGGAATGGACTTCTGATACATACTACAACATGGATGAATCTTGAAGATATTATGCTAAGTGAAATAAGCCAGAAACAAAAGGGCAAAGATTGTATTATTCCACTTATATGAGATACCTAGAAGAGTCAAATTCATAGAAACAGTAAGTAGAATAGTGATTACTAGGAGTTGGGAAGAGGAAGGACTGGAGAGTTATTGTTTAATAGGCACAGAGTTTTAGTTTGGAATGACGAAAAAGCTCTGGAGATGGGTAGTGGTGACAGTTGCACTACAATGTGAAAGTATATAATGCCACTGAACTGCACACTTAAAAATGGTTAAAATGGGGACCAGCCTGGTGGCGTAGTGCTTAAGTTCACACACTACACTTCAGTGGCCTGGCATTCACTGGTTCAGATCCTGGGAGTGGACCTAGCACCGCTCATCAAGCCATGCCGTGGCAGCATCCCACACAGAAGAACTAGAAGGACTTACAACTAAGATATAGAACTATGTACTGAGGCTTTGAGAGAAAAAAGAAAGGAGGAAGATTGGCAACAGATGTTAGCACAGGGCCAATCTTCCTCACTCCCCGCCCCCAAAAAAAAGCATCACATCGAAAAAAAATGGTTAAAATGGTAAATTTTATGTTATCTGTATTTTAACATACACATACACAAAAGAAAGTTTGTTCAGCTACCGTGACATTATTTTCCCATGAGTCATTTGAGCAGGAAGAATGAAGTTCCCTGCTGCAGAGTCAAGCATGGGAGGAGAGCACTTAGATGTGGGGGAGGCTGTCAGGATTCTCTATGGTTACCTGATTCATTTCCTTCTTCTTGAGCTAAGAGGCAGGAGAAAGGAAGGATAGGAGTGCTAGATAATTTAATCATGGAACTAGGGCTGAATTCACTTTATCAGTTACAAAGATAAAGATGAGTTTTTATATGGAAGGTAAGAAGGTATCTCTGCATCTGAGGGATTTCTTGAAGCAAAAGCTTGTAATGAACATAACCAAGACTGGTCTTTAAGACAACAAGGCTGGGAGGAGAGTCCATGATGCTCAGCAGGAGGAGGTCTGGGTAGCAGGCTTTTATAGCAGTTAACAGAAATATTCATCCACCAATCCAGGGTCCAATTAATCACCCTTATGTATAAGACTGACAGAAACCAAATATATCTTATGAGAGACTCAGCTTTCATTTTGGGAGATAGAGAATTGCAGTTTCCATCTGTGCTTTCTCAATTCATGTAGTGTTTCAATGACTGTGATGTTGTGGAAGAAGGGTCATTAACAGGGTTCCATCCATATTAGTTATAATCAAGATCCTCTCCATTGCCCAAGATCCCAGAAATGAGGAAAGTAAGAATGTCCTTGGAGAGTTCAACTTCAATATGTGCACACAAAGGATCAGGGCAGAGGTCGGAAGAGACCCCTGAAAGAGACATAATAGCTCACCGGCCTGTGGGATTTGACTGCAAGCTGATGGATTACATGACTATTTCCATAAAGAAATGCATCTATGATTATGGGCAGGCTGGTCAGCCATGGAAATAGTTTTAGAGACCCCATAGTCGGCTGTTGCAAGTGTGTAGGTTCTTGCAGCAGTTATGATCCTCCTTATAAACCAAATAGATTTCCTTTATCAGCCTCATGAGCTTGAGTAATACGAATCTCAACCTGGAGTGATTCTGTTTTCTTAGTGCTCACAAAGGTTAGTTTCTGAACCCATAAGGCTGAGAGCTACATCCTGCACTGTGGTAAATGTGCCAAGGTAATAAGGTTGAGGCCTGCAAACTAGGAAGGTACTTTGAGGTATTTAAAAGTTGAAACCTAACAAAAGGATAGCTAAAGGAAGCCTCTCTAGAACTAGCTTTGGAGTGAAACCTCTACAGATACAAGGTGATGTCAGCAATAAGGCAGAGTGAGCTGTTCCCTTTATCTCTCCCTCTTTGAACTACAGATAAATGGACATTCGTTGACCAGTGGAGGATACCCACACAGCACAACAGGATGCCTGAGAGACGGACATAGCTATACATCTGAAGGTGGATGGACTGGCTCCTCAGGAAATGGTGGAGATAAGTAAACTCTCCTCTACCCTCCCTAGCAGCCCTGTGCACATACCTGAACACGTTCCTAGCCCGCACGAATGCCCATAGTACTGCTGCAGTCTCAAAAGTGGGAACACACCTTGGCACAACTGTGGGGAGGGGTGGCAGAAGCCCTGGGCCTGTGTTTGGATGCTTCCCTGGCCAGTGGAAGAGCCCACACTGCCACTGTGGTCCCAGGCATGGATCCACAAAGAAGCCCAAGCTATGAAGCACAGCAGCCGGCATGACAATAAGAAGAGGAGGCAGCAGATATACACATGCACGCAAATGCTTTTCCGGCCAGTGCGAGTGCCCATGGTACTGCTGCAGCCCCACAAGTGGGAACATGCCTCAGGGTGGCAGCAGCCCTGCACCAATGTGAGAACACCTCCCCAGCCAGTGGGAGCTCCCACTGTGCCTGCACCACTTCCAGTGGATGAGCTGGGATCAGAAATACAGCTCCTGCTTCCCCTCAGTGGTAGCAGGTGGAATCTGTGACCTAATACTACTGCAAATGCAGTAGCAAAAGGTTAGCTCATCAAACAGCATCAGAAACTACAGCAACAATTCAGAGCAGAAGGAAAGTGACAAATTTCCAGAAACCAACCCTGAAGTCACAGAAATTTACAATCTAAATGACAGAGACTTCAAAATAGCTGTCATAAAGAAATCCAGCGAGTTACAAGAAAACTCAGAAAGACAGTTCGAGGAGCTCAGGAATAAAATTAATGATCAGAAGGAAAACTTCACCAAAGAGATTGAAACTATATATATATAAAAAAAACAGAAATTCGGGATATGAAGAACACAATTAATGAGATAAGAAATAATTTAAAATCCTTTAAAGAGTAGAGCTGATATTATGGAGGAAAGAATTAGTAATTTAGAGGATAGAAATGCTTCAAGTGGAGGAGGAGAGAAAACTAAGATTTTTAAAAAACGAAGGAATTCTTTGAGAAATATCTGACTCAATTAAGAAAAGAAACGTACGGATTATAGGTATTCCAGAGGGAGAAGTGAGGGAGAAAGGAGCAGAAAGCTTGTTCAAAGAAATAATAGCTGAGAACTTACCAAACCTGGGAAAGAACCAGACTTATAAATACATGAAGCAAATATGACTCCTAATTACATCAATGCTAAAAGACCTTCTCCAAGGCATATAATACTAAAACTGGCAAAAGTGAACAACAAACAAAAAATATTAAGGGCAGCAAGGCAGAAAAAAATAACCTACAAAGGAACCCCAATTAGGATTTCAGGGGATTTCTCAGCAGAAAACTTACAGGCTAGGAGAGAATAGAATGATATATTCAAAACACTGAAAGACAAAAATTTTCAGCCAAGAATACTCTATCCAGTAAAACTATCTTTCAGATACAATGGAGAAATAACAGCTTTCCCAGATAAACAAAAGCTGAGGGAGTTCATTGCCACTAGACCTCCCCTACAAGGAATGACTAAGGATGCCCTTATTCCTGAAACAATAAGGCAAAGGTCTACAAAGCTTTGAGCAAGGAGATGAACAGATAAACATAATCAGAAAACTGTAGCTCTTTTTCAGAACAGGGTAGTAAATACTTAATTATAACTTAAAAGATAAAGAGGAGGAAAGCATCAAAAGTAACCATAGGGGCCAGCCCAGTGGTGCAGCAGTTAAGTTCACACGTTCGATTTCGGTGCCCAGGGTTTGCCAGTTTGGATACCAGGTCCACACATGGCACCACTTGGCAAGCCATGCTGTGGTAAGTGTCCCACATATAAAGTAGAGGAAGATGGCATGGATGTTAGCTCAGGGCCAGTCCTCCTCAGCAAAAAAAAGAGAGTTGGATTGGTGGCAGATGTTAGCTCAGAGCTAATCTTCCTCAAACAAAAAATGTAACTATAAACACTTCAACTTAGTCACAAACTCACAACACAAAACAGAATAATTTGTGACAACAATAACTCAGAAGGGCAAGTAAAGGGACAGAACCTGATTAGGTTAATGGAGATAAGAGGCTATCAGACAATGGACTATCTCATCTACAAGATCTTTTATACAAACCTCATGGTAACAGCTAAACAAAAATTCAGAGCAGAGCCACAATTCATTAAAAAAGAGAAAACTGAGAAAGCCTCCAGAGAAAACCAGCAAAATGAAATGGCAGTCAGAAATACAAAGGAGGAGAAACAATGGAAATACAGAACAACCAGAAAACAAGAGATAAAATAAATGGCAGTATTAAGCCTTCATATATCAATAATCTCTCTAAATGTAAATGGGTTGAATTCTCCAATCAAAAGACACAGAGTAGTGAGATGGATTAGAAAACAAGACTCAAAAATATGCTGCCTCCAGGAAACATATCTCAGCTCTAAAGACAAACATAGGCTCAGAGTGAAAGGATGGAAGATGATACTCCAAGAAAATGGCAAACAAAAGAAAGCAGGGTTGCTATTCCTGTCTCAGACAAAGCAGACTTTAAGATAAAAAAGACAATGAGAGACAGGAGGGGCAGTATATAATCATAAAAGGGACTTTCCACCAAGAGGACGTGACACAAAAATATATATGCACCTAACACAGGAGCACCAATGTATATAAAGCAACTATTAACAGACCTAAAGGGGGAAATTAACAGCAACATAATAATAGTAGGGGACCTCAATACCCCACTTATATCCATGCATAGATCATCCAGAACAGAAAGTCAACAAGGAAATAGTGGATTTAAATGACACACTTGATCAGATGGACTTAATAGACATATAGAGAGCATTCTATCCAAAAACAGCAGAATACACATTCTTCTCAAGTACACGTGGGACATTCTCAGACAGACCAAATGTTGGGAAACAAGGTAAGCCTCAATAAATTTAAGAAGACTGAAATCATATGAAGCATCTTTTCAGACCATAATGCTATGAAATTAGAAATCAACTACAAGAGAAAAGCTGGGGAAGTCACAAATACATGGAGACTAAACAACATGCTACTGAATAACCATTGGATCAATGAAAAGATCAAAGGAGAACTTAGAAAATACCTGGAGACAAATGAAAATGAACATACCAAATCTTGTGGGATATAGCAAAAGCAGTTATAAGAGGGAAATTCATAGCAATACAGGCCCATCCCAACAAACAAGAAAAATATCAAGTAAGTAACCTTAAACTACACTTAACATAACTAGAAAAAGAAGAACAAACAAAGCCCAAAGTCAGCAGAAGGAGGGAAATAATAAAAATTAGAGCAGAAATAAATGAAATAGAGACTAAATAAAACAGTATAAAGGATCAATGAAACTAAGAGCTGGTTCTTTGAGAAGATAAAATCAACAATCCCTTAGACTCACTAAGAAAAAAAGAAAGAAGTCTCAAATAAGTAAAATTAGAAATGAAAGAGGAGAAATTACAATGGATACTGCAGAAATACAAAGGATTATAAGAGAATACTATGAAAAACTATACGCCAACAAATTGGACAATCTGGAAGAAATGGATAAATTCTTAGACTCATACAACCTCCCAAAACTGAATTAAGAAGAAACAGAGAATCTGAATAGACCAATCACAAGAGATCAAAATAGTAATCAAAAACCTCCCCAAAAAAACAAAAGTCCAGGACCAGATGGCTTCTCTGGAGAATTCTACAAAACATTCAAAGAAGATTTTATACCTATCCTTCTCAAACTATTCCAAAAAATTGAAGAATATGGAATGCTTCCTAATTCATTCTATGAGGCCAACATTACCCTGATACCAAAACCAAGCAACAACAGCACAAAGAAGGAAAATTACAGGCTAATATTACTGATGAAGATAGATGCAAAAATCTTCAACAAAATATTGGCAAATTGAATACAGCAATACATTAAAAGGATCATACACCATGATCAAGTGAAATTTATAACAGGGATGTAGGGATGGTTCAACACCCACAAATCAATCAATGTGATACACTACTTTAACATAATGAGGAAGAAAAACCTCATGATCATCTCGATAGATGCAGAGAAAGCATTTGACGACATCCAACATCCAATTATGATAAAAACTCTCAATAAAATGGGTATAGAAGGAAAGTATCTCAACATAAGAAAGGCCATAAATGACAAACGCACAGCCAACATCATACTTAAGGGTGAAAGACTAAAAGCCCATCCCTCTGAGAATAGGAACAACACAAGGGTCCCCACTCTCCCCACTCCTATTCAAAATAAACTGGAGGTCTTGGCCAGAGCAATTAGGCAAGAAAAAGACAAGCTATTTTCCATCACAGAGCTTAGGCATAGGGGATGATTGGGCAAAGCACAATGAGGGTTTATTCTCACTAACCAGACCAAATGAAACCCAAAGAAGAAACCATTATTTGTTTTTATGACCCTGGTTGTCTACATCTATGAGAATTTATCTCCAACTCTTTCAACTTTTCAGTAGTAACTGACTCGGATTCCTGATACCTCAGTCAGGAGAAGCAGAATTGGTGTGCCTATTTACCTAGAGCCACTTTGACAGGGTTTCAGACTTTTTTTTCAATTATTTTATTGGAAAATAGCTTGAGATCAATAAATTCAAATTCTTACATTCCATTCGGTTATTTGCTTTTCTGTGAACACCTTCAGATTCATACATTCCTCTTCCAGTTGCCTCAATTTTGTCACAGCTTCCTGGAGCTTTTCCTGAAGGAGAAATTGGGTGAACAAGGTCTGTTTAATTCGACAACTCTTCATTAGGCACCTAAGGGGAATCCCAGCCTCCAAGACTATTAGAATAACACTGTATATTTATTGAGTCCTTACACTTTGCCGGGAAGCATGCTGAGGGCTGTATGTGCACAAACATATTTGATTCCCTTGGCGACCCTGAGCAGTTAGATTTTTAACATCATTTCCGTGCTGTAGAAACTGAGGCTTTTGGGGACCAGCCCCATGGCCAAGTGGTTAAGTTCGCACTCTGCTTCTGCGGCCCAGGGTTTCGCCAGTTCAGATCCTGGGCGCGGACATGGCACCACTCATCAGGCCATGCTGAGGCGGCATCCCACATAGCACAACCAGAAGGACCACAACTACAATATACAACTATGTATTGGGGAGCTTTGGGGAGAAGAAGAAAACAAAAGATTGGCAACAGATGTTAGCTCAGCTGCCAATCTTTGAAAAAAAATGCTCCATCTTTTTTAAAAAAAAAAAGAAACCGAGGCTTAGGAAAGGATTAAATAAGTTACCGAAGGTGGTAAAACCGATAGGTGGGTGAGCCGAGATTCCAACCTCATCTGTTGACCCAGAGCCTGAGCTATACCCACCACTACAGTCTTACCAGAGAAATATTGCACATAGAACAAGATAATCATCTAAGGGAAGATTTTATAAAACAATTTGCTGAATCAAACATAATCCATGCCAGAGTGTTTGGCACACATGGAACTTTGTATGTATTATGGTGAATCAGGAAGGTAAGACCAGGATGCCAGCTGAAGTTAGGAGAAACGGTTAATGGAGGAGGGGAGTTCTGATATGTTTTGAAGAATGGTATCATGAGGCCAATCTAAAATGACTTAGTATCCATATTAAGCTCTTAGATTATTTTTCAAAATAGTTTCTCATATTTTCATGGAAAGCAATTTTAAGCCAAAGCAAATTGCTAGTTGAGGTCAATACTGAAAGAATTGGCTCCTGTCCTCTGTAAATCCAGTAAGAACATTCATGAATTCTCTAGCCCTCTCAAGAAAGAGCTCTATGAAGCTTGTTAGCAAAAGACTGTACTACCTTTGCTGTGAGCAAAGGACTATTCTAAGCTTTACATATATTAATGTCCTTAAAGTTTATAACAACCTCCTAGGCATGCATGTCAGGAAGGGAAGGGACTGCCATTATTCCTATTTACAGATGGGGAAACCAAGGCATGAAGACTTAAATAACTTGCTCAAAGTTACCCATCCAGTAAGTGGCAGAACTAAGATTTTCAAACCAAGCAGCCTGACTCCTGAGGCTTAGTAACCATTACCCTGTGCTGTTTCTTGTCTCACTACTTGGTGGGAAAGTAATTCCAATGGGAATATCCCCATTACAGTAATTAGCTGCTCCACGGAGTTTAAAGAAAAGCTGCCATGTGCTGAGTTGTGGTCAGTATTGACATGTCCTGATGGAGGACCCAGAACCTTAATATAAGACCACTTCTGCCTCATAGGGGAGGGAACAAGACACCTGACACTGAGGACATTTTTTTTTAAATCTAGACAGGGCAGAGAGAGACTCAGGCAGCCGGAGTATGCCCACTCCTTCATTCCACCACAGCAAAGGTCAGCCTTCCTTTACACGATTTTGAGTGAGAAACTTGGGAGTTACCCAAAACCTCTCCCTCCGCTTCATCCTCCATGACCAAATCAGTTCCAAACCCTTCAACTCCCCTTCCAGAGTCTTGCTGGAAATTGCCCCCTCCCCCCTTCTTACAGGAATAAGTGAATGTTACTCCTTCAAATTCCTTTTATTTTATCAGCGTGAGAATGCTCTTTTCACTGTCCACCTGATCCTTGCCTCTGCAGATGAAAATCCCCCAATGGCCAATACTACTCTGGGCTGGGATTTAGACTCTGAGCTGATACCAAGGTTCTGGGCCCTGACTTCCCTTCCCACGCCATCACCTGCCCTTCCCTACACACAGCCCCTGGCCTGGTCACAGCAAGTCGGGAAAGGTCCCATGCCTGTGCCTTTGCACATGTGGTCCCCTCTGTCTGGATGCCCTGTTTTTTTCCATACTTCTTTTTTTTTTTAATTTTTTGCTATGAGTTTAGTTTTTTTTTCTTAAAGATTGGCACCTGAGCTCACAACTGTTGCCAATCCTTTTTTTTTTTTTTTGCTTTATCTCACCCAAATCCCCCCTGGTACATAGTTGCATATCTTAGTTGTGGGTCCTTCTAGTTGTGGCATGTGGGACGCTGCCTCAATGTGTCCTGACAAGCGGTGCCATGTCCGAGCCCAGGATCGGAACCCGCAAAACTCTGGACCACGGCAGCAGAGTGTGCGAACTTAACCACTAGGCCGCGGGCCGGCCCCTCCATACTTCTATATTTTTATTTTTATTTTTTTTTAGGAAGATTAGCCCTGAGCTAACATCTGCTGCCAGTCCTCCTCTTTTTGCTGAGGAAGACTGGCCCTCAGCTAACATCCGTGCCCATCCTCCTCCACTTTATATGTGGGACGCCTGCCACAGCATGGCTTGACAAGCGGTGCCATGTCCGCACCCGAGATCCAAACCAGCGAACCCCAGGTCACCAAAATGGAACGTGCGAACTTAACCGCTGCGCCACCCGGCCTGCCCCTATATGTGGTTCATTTCTGGAGCGGTGGGGAGTGGGGAAGTTGACAGAGAGGGGCAGGGACTGGGAAGGCGAGCCGGGGGATGGAGGGACTGAGAGGTCTAATGGAGAGAAAGAAAAAGGAGGGAGGAGTGAAGGGCGATCGAGGAAGGGAACTGAGCAAAGAAGTGGAGAGGGAGGGACAGAGGACCGGGCGGGGAGGAGGGGGCGGGGCAGGATGACGGGGTAGGGAGAGTGGAAGAATGAGGGAGGGGGCGGAAGAACAACAGTACAGGGACAGAGCGACAGGGTGGCTGAGACTAATGGAGGGGACAGGGAGGTGGTCAACAGAGACGGGGCGGGGATGGTCCGGGAGGAGGGGGGGAGCGCTGGGTGAAGGGATTGCGCCCGGCACATCCCGCTGGAGCCCCGACGGTTCGCCGGGTAATTAGCCCTCAGTCCAGATGGGCCCCTCGGTGTCGCAATCAAAATGGTAATTGGTCCCTTGCCTCCGGCTGCGCTTCTGCCCCGCCCGCCTGGGAGGGAACAGGGACAAGCGGTTCCGCCGAGGGGGATCCCCCGTCCCCGCCCCCATTGCGGGCCTCGCCGGCTGCGGCTCTGAGATCAGGGGGCGGCCGCACCCAGCACCCCCTCCCCCCCCCCCCCCCCCCGCCCCTCGGGAGCAACTGCCGCGCAAGATGGATATCCCGCCGCAGCCGCTGCCCCGGCCGCCGCCAGGAAGCCGGCTGCGGTCTCCGCCGCACCCCCCGCGCCCGGCGGGCTCGCTCACACCGGAGCTCGAGCTCTCGGCTCCCGGGCCAGGACGCGGAGGAAGTGCCGCGCGGGGCGTGCGGCGGCTGGGCGCAGAGCTCGGCACTCCCTGGGTAATTTTTTTATCTCTTGAGGAGTTACTTCTGAGAAGGCTCCTCAGATACCACTCCCTATCCGTTGATGCCCTTCCCTACCACCCAAACCAGGGGACCCTAAGACAGTCTTTTTTGCTGGTTTGTCTTCCGTACTACACTGTAGGATACCTACAAGGTGGTGTGTCTTTGTCCTCTGTTTTTAAACTATCACATAGTCTTGCACATTGTGGTTTCTCAAATTAAATACACTGTGTGAAGCCATAAAATATGCAGGTGTGGGTTTGAGCATATTGTTCCAGAGCAGGGAGAAGTTCATCATAGCAAGAGTGGACAGAGACAAGAGTTTGACCATCCCATTGAACGTCAGGATGGAGAGCCAGGACTTGACTCAGTGAGGACCCATCATAAACTATTTTTCAGAAGAACGATATGATGAAAGCTGTATTTCAGGATTATAATCTCGGGTTTGGGGCTAAGTAATCTGAGGTCTGGGGAAGCAGCACGAGACTGGGTGTTTGCCCCTGGCCCGAACACCCACCTTGTAGCCTTGGCATACATCTTCAACAAGAGCTGTGGTGTGTCCTTTGTGCTGTGGTGTCCGTTCACAGCGCCAGCAGATGAGCTGGCCCTCGTCTTCGCAGAACAGGTGGAGCTTCTCTCCGTGTTCCTCACATGACATTTCATGCTCCATCTCCCTGATGGCTTCAATGAGGGTTCCCAGCTGCTTGTTGGGCCGGAGGCTTGCCATTTGAAATGTAGCCCGACACTGGGGACAGGAGAATGTCCCCAGCCATGGTTGCAAGAGGCGTACGTTCTCAATGAAGCGTACTATGCATAAGTGGCAGTAGCTGTGTCCACAGCTGACGCTCACGGGCTCAACCATCAGGTTCAGGCAGATGGAGCAGGTGGCTTCCTCCCTCATCTTCTTGGCGTTTCCGGATGAAGCCATGGCTTTTCCTGAAAAGCTCCAGCACTGGATCTAGAGGCAGAGATGAAGCAGGCAGAATTTTCCCACAGTGATAGAAATATACCTCACCTGAGTTTCTGTTCAATGCACTGGCTGCCACTGGCCTCCACAGGTCTTGAAATCTTCTCTCTAGAGAGAAGAAATGGATTGGAATTTAGAAGATGCATAAAATGTAGCTATGTTGTGAAATATAGTGGTGAATATCACATGTGGCCACTTCAATTTAAATTAAGTAAAATCAAATAATTAAAAATTCAGTTTCTCAGTCCCACTAGCTACATTTCAATTGCTTAATAGCCCCAGGTGGCTAGAGCCCACATGATAGCCCAGCTACAGCACATTCCATCATTGCAGAAAGTTCCTTGGACCAAGTGCTAAGAGGGAGAGAGAAGCAGGGCAGGCCTCCTCAAAAAAGTTGCAGCAAGAGAGAGAACTCGGTGAGGGAGGGTAACACTCTATTCTACTCTAATGAACTTCAAGAATAATTGGTACCAGAACTACTTCTTTGTAACTGGTAGTAACTTTTAGGAAATTGGGTGGTCTGTGAAGGATTCTATTGAGACAATCATACTCAGCTCTACTGGAACCCGCACCCCCAGTTCTCTCTACCCCCACTCCACAAAGAACAAAAGACACCAGGTTAATGTCTCAGTGGAGACCCAAAGAGGATGATAATGCAAGTAAACAAGACAGCCAGAAGAACCAGTTTGTCCTTTTTGCCCTCCCTGACCTGAGGGAAACAGAAGTGGAAAAAGAGCTGAGAAGCTAAGGGGTTGGCCCTGAGGAGCAGAGCCCTTGGATAACTCGGGAGGTGACTGTCTCTTCTCCAGACCAGGATTCATCTCCCAGGAGAAGTTCAGGGTGACTGGGACACAGGGAGTTTGCAGAATCCAGGATGAGGGGGAGGTGGGAAGCAGATGGGGAAGGCTGGGGCTCTGTGGAATCCCAGGTGTTGGACTCCCTGGTATCCACCAGTGAGGACTGGATGACCAGAGACAGCAGAGGAGTGAGAAGGAGCAAAGGAGTCTGTGCCTTCACCCACTGCTGCAGTTGCTTCCTTCAGGAACCTAGCCCTGTTCCCCCCTTCCCACTCAGGGAGGGGAGCGGAGGTGGAAGGAAGTTTAGGGGGTGACCTTTCCTTTGAACTGACAGTACCAGAATTAAAAACAAGGATTCAGCTAAAGTTACCGGATAGGCTGCTTCCCTCTAATAACCAGGCCCAGTCTCTTGGAGCCATGGAGAATTCTTCAGAAGACTTCTATTCCTTGGCGGCTTATTTCTCTCAAGAGATAGACTAGGCTGCTCTCTGCCAGGAGTGCTGTGCTCCTGGGGAGAAGGCCCTCCCCATCTCTGAGGCCTGTCCTGGGCCTCCACTCACCTCACATCCAGGATCTTCTGAGATCTGGCACAGAGTCGGGTGAAAGAGAAAGCAGACAGGGAGTGAGAGCTACAAAGCCAAGTCTTGAGCATTTTCAGTATTTCAGCAGGCTCTGTGATCAAGAAACAGTCCCCTCGCCTTGCTGCCCACCACCACACACTCACCATATCCCTCCGCCCAGAAAACGTTGGCATAGACGTTTTCTGCTGCCTTCACCACACAGCAGGCAGTCACATGTTCGCTGCTAGTCTCCGCAGTAGCTGCCGCTTTCAGAGACCCGAGTGAAGAAGTTAACTCAAAAGTGAAACTACTCCGGGACGCCGCCCCGTGGGGTTTGAGGAGGAGACTAGTGAAATTACCCGTATCTTTTGCACTCAACTCCTCCTGAGAGGGAGGGGAGACTGTAGAAAAATGTCCTTTTACAGCAACAAAAAGAAGCAGCAAATTAATAAGCCAGTAAACTATTTTGTGACCCCAGCACAGAGTATCTAAAATCACAGAGTTCACAGACCCTGACTTGAGATATTTTTCCTTTTTCCATCAACAACCTCGGGACCCATAAGCCTTTCTGACGGATGCTATTTTTAGGTCGCTCACTCTTATAACTGCTCTGAAGGATGTGGTTAAAAAAGGGGTGGTGACAGTAGTAGGATGCGTTGGTACCACAGAATTTGCTCAAGGCAGTCTCCCATTCTGCTCTGCCGTGTTGATGTGTCTCATTTGCATCCTCAATGCCCCTCCGCAGGATTCAAATACTTACCAGTAGTCAGAGTTAGCTGCCCAGGACGGCAAACAGGAGCTACCAATGGCCCAGCAGTGAGTGGCCTCAGCTGGGAGCTCTGGGAGACCCGCGGGCCACCACTCTGCCCTGCCCCCTGTGGGGTCGGGGTCAATACTTAGTGGCTCAACTGCAGACTCTCCAGTTCAAAATAAGAACAAAAGTACTATCCCCACTCAATTTAGAGTCATTGTTTAATGGGAAAAAACAGATTACCACCTCAAAATAAAACCTTGCCACATTTATAGCCTGAGGTGTAAGAGGCATTCATGATAAGTGCACAATAAATATGTCTTTAGGAAATAAATATGTATGGTGGTCCAAGGAATCCAGTAAGGGAGGCTGAGGACACGGCCAGGGGAAATTAAACTTGGACTCTGAGAGCTGTCTGGGCCAACTCTGGGTCCCTGGCCTGGCTGGTCAGATGCTGACCCTGATAGCTGTGTGGAGGTCTGTGTTCAGGACAACAGACCTGCAGAGGGAGCCTGGGGGGCAGTTCAGCCCAGCCACCGTTCTGCTGGAGGCCAAATTAGAAACAGGTTTCTCTCTTCAGCACTGCACTCTCCTAAGTGCTGTAGAGGAGGAAGAGAAGTCCTTTACCCACTCTAGGTCCTTCTGGCTGGGCTACGAGTTAAATTGACGTGAGACAGAATAACAGGAGAAAATCAAACAAGGCTTTATAACATGTATACATGGGAGAGAGTCAGGAAAACGGAGCAACTTGGCCATCTAGTCAAAGCTGCCACCTTAAATATTATCTTCAGCTAAAGACAAAGGAGGATGTTGGGGGTAGTGGTTTGGGATTTCAGAGGGGAGGAAGGCAATTTACATGGAGGTGGAAATGCAAATGTTTGTTAAACAAGTTTTGCTGGGCCAAAAATGGGCTCCTTGGTGCCTTTCTATCACACCTATTTTACATTATACTGTAACTATCTTATGGTATTAGCTCCTTCCTGGAACAGGCCTTCTATGTTAAATTCTTTTAGGCAGTTTGGAGGAAGGTCAAATATTCTTCCTGAGTCTTCTGAGCTTTTATTGTCTTCAGTTCAAAATAATCCACATACCAGAGTGGTGTATCTTGGGGCGGCCTGCCCTGAACCCCATCACTGCTTACACAGCCTTTGCCATTTTGCCATCCAGTGACTCATCACGCCCTGGCATGTCCTGTGAACAGGGCCCCCCTGCACTACATGACATACCCACTGTTGAGGCAACCAGCACACAGACAGAAGAAAAAGAATGAGCCCCTGAATCCCTGATTTGATGATGGCTTCTTACAGACCCCCACAACTTTCATTGTTGTGGGGCAGAGCTAAACCCAGGCAGAACTCATCCCAAATTTGTCCCGCCAAGGGATCGGAAAAAGGAAGCTAGTGAAAGCCAAAAAGAAAATAAGCTGCCGTTACCAACAAACAATAAGACAAAAGCAATGACATCATGACAGGGTCTGTCTTGCGACAGCTGCCCAACCTTGCACCTGTTTCATGTGGCATGAAGGAGAGACTGGTTCATGCAGAGAGCTGCAGGTCTTAGAAGTGGGGAGAGGATGTATATGAGCCTTCAGAGATATGTCCCCCAAAGGTGGGCCTGGGAGAGACCGAGAGGAGCTGCTCAACGGGGGAATACATCACCTCCAATAAATCAGGCTGGGCTTCACCCTGTGAGTCTGCGATGCAGGAAGCCAGAGACCCAGAATGGGGAGTGGGTCACTGGAGTCTCCTTAAAAAGGCTGGCACTGTGAGTGATCCTTCTGTGGGGAGGATTGTCCCCCAAATATCCTTAGGGTGCCCTCCCTCTACTCCCTCAGGTGTCCCTTCTCAACCAGGCTTACCCTGACCACTTGTTTACTGTTGCACCCCTCCCACACTCGTGATCCCTCTTACAATGCTGTTTTTGTTCCCGTGGCACTTATTTATCACTGACTATTTTGTTTATTTGTGTTTCTTATTGTCTGTCTTCTGCATGAGAATGAAAGTTCCACAAGAGTGGAGATTTTTATCAATATTTTTCACTGATGAATCCCAAGTGTCTAGAATGGTTCCAGGAATAGTGATATGTGTTAAATGAGAGAATAGCTTTCTGAGCTGCACCAAACACACGTCATAAGAGGCAGTGTAGTGTGGGTGATATGTGAGGTGTGTGGTGTTGTGTGATGCATATGTGTATGTGTGTGTGATATGTGTGATGTGGAATCTGGTGTGCATGCATGCATGAATGTGTGTGTATAGTATGTGTTGTGGGGTGTATAGTGGTGTGTGCTGTGTGTGGTGTGTGATACATGGTTTGTGTTTGTATGGTATGTGTGATGGGCTATGTCTGTGGTGTGTGTGCAGTGTGTGTGTGTATGTGTGTGTACATTAATGTGCACGTTGGAGGTGGCAGGCATGTGAACATGGCAAACAGTACCAGAAAGTACCAGAATCCATGACAACTACTGGCTTCCCAGAGAGTTTTCTCTCCCTCCTGTAGGATATATTGATGACCTCGATAAAAATAATCCATAACCAATCTATCAACCAAAATTGGAGTGTGTTTATTGTGAGCCAGATTTGAGGACCATATAGCCTGGGAGAGTCCTTCCACAAAGGAATGGAGCACTCCAAAGAAGTAGGGGTGTACAGAGTGGTTATATACTGTCAAAGAGCATGTATCACATATGATTGAAATGTCCCTTTTACAATAGTCACGAGATTCCCGTGTCAGCACAGCAATTGATGGACACAGTAGGTCTGCTGTCTTGAGCTAGGTGGTCACAAGTGAGCACAGCAATCAATTCCTAGTCTAGGAAGAGGTGTTTATCCTTAAGGAAATGCCAATGTAGGCGAAGTTGCACTTTTATCTTAAGGGCATTTGTTCTTGTCTTTGGGACGTAGCAAATGCTTAAAGCAGATACACAATGCATGCTCAGTGGCCATGTTAGGCCCTTTTGGAAAAACAAGCTTAGGCCAAATTAGTTTTACACCAAATAGCTTCCTCATATACTCCAATATATCCTATTGCTTCCCACTTGTTTATCAATGATTTGGATTAAGAGCAAATGAAAATGGAAGAGAAGAGCTGGCAAAGAGAGCTTAGAGGAGATTTGATAACTGCACAGTACGAAAGTGATGCTGAGAACAAACTTTTTATATGACCAGAGAGGAGAGAAGCAGCACCACTCAGTGGTAGGAAGAGAGGAACTCGGGATTATAGGTTAAAAAAAATTAGCCTGGGAGGAGACTGGTCTGATCTAAGCTATTCAGAATGATGAACATGACAAAGAATTTCTCCAAAGAAGGTCTTAGCATCCACTGCAAATAGTTTGTACCCGCATCTCTTACAAAATAGATAACTATTTCATTGAAGACTGCTTTGAGGTAACTGGGTCTTGAAGAGGACAATTGTCCTTGGCTGCCCACAGGGCCAGCTGGTAATAACACACCTAAATATTTACTGAACACTTGCTTGTGCCAGGCCCTATGCCAATACCTCCCAGAGTTAATAGAATCCTCCCAAATAAAAATTCTGGAATTCAAAGTATAATAACTAGAATGAAAAGATTCATCATAGGCATTCAAAAGCAAATATGAGCAGGAGGAGAAAGAATCAGTGAATTCAAAGACAGGTCAATTGAGATTACCCAGTCTGAGAAACAGAAAGAAGGAAGAATGAAGAAAAATGAACAGAGCTTCACACAGAGGTGAGATACTATTAAATATACCATAATAGGCATTATGGGTCTCCCAGAGGGAAAGAAGAGAGTGGAAATTAAACAACATATTTCTAAATAAGCAATGGGTCAAAGAGGAAATCACAAACAAAATTAGAAAACAGTTTGAGATGAGTGAAAATGAAAGTGGAACACACCAAAATTTATGATGATGAAATCTCATGCTGAAGAAACTCAGGCTGTCCTGCTCCATCCTGCCTGGGACGTGAATCATCCCTTCGTCCAGCCCATCCACATTATGTACACTACCAGCCCATTAGTCACTTAATAGCCCTGTTGATTATCAGATCGATTGTTGCAGTATCATGGTTCTTGTGTTCAAGTAACCTTTATTTTACTTAATAACGGTCCCAAAGCACAAGAGTAATGATGCTGGCAATTTTGAAATGCCAAAGAGAAGCCACAAAGTGCTCCCTTTAAGTGAAAATGTGAAAGTGCTTGACTTACTAAGAAAAGAAAAAACATCATGTACTGAGGTTGCTAAGATCTATGGTAACTTTTATTACAGCATGTTGTCATAATTGTTCTACTTTATTATTTAGTTATTGTTGTTAATCTCTTACTGTGCTTTATTTATAAATGAAACTTTATTTATTTATATATAGGAAAAAACATAGTATATATAAGATTCGTTGCTACCTGTGGTTTCAAGCATCCACTGGAGGTTTTGGAATGTATTCCCTGTGGATAAAGAGGAAATACTATATTAGTAAACTGAATTCAGCAACATATAAAGAGACTTACGTGCCATGACCAAGTAGGATTTATCTCAGGAATGCAAGATGAGCTCAGCATTTGTAAATCAATCAATGCAATAAACTATGTTAATAGAATAAAGGGCAGAACCAAATGGTCATCTCAACAGACAAAGGAAAAGCATTTGACAAAGTCTAACATCCTTTCGTTATAAAAACACTCAACAAAGTGGGAATACGAAGGTACTTCCTCAATCTGATAAAGGACACATATGAAAAACTTGCAGTAAACATCATACTTAGTGGTAAAAGACTGAAAGCATTCCCACTAAGATCAAGAGCAGGACAAGGATGTGTGCTCTTAGTATTTCTATTCAACATTGTGCTGAA